TACCAAGATTTAGAACGTTGAAAAATACCACTTTACCATAAAAATTGAATCGTAGCACTATTCTTTATAATGTACAGAGGCAATTCTGAAACATTTTGCTAACCATGATTTAAGCATAATCTTATTCTAATTAAAGATGAAATCCGGTTATCCGGAGATTTAGGCGGATGCAACGCTATATTAAAACGTTTGCGGCCTCTTTCCGGTATTTTTTGTTTCTCATTTATTTACAGAGTTGTTATTAATCAAAATTATGATTTTTTTGTTTCATTTCATAATGCAGTAAATAGTAGCAATTTATCCCCATAGCCACCACATTAGTTTTGTTTTTAAATATTCATGGAGAGATTGAAATCCTTATGCATGCTATTAACAAAAACTAAATGAACCGGTTCGTTTCGATCCCTGAGAATTATTCAAAAGCCAGCAATTCGGAATAATAATTGAAAATAGTATGTGTCTTGTGGTGACATAAGTAGTCTTAATGGCGTTCTGTTTATTACTCGTTTATGGTTATTTCAAGGTTGTTTGCCGAGAGAATAACTAAATCACAATTGCCTTATTCGCTCGTTTCCAAGCTTTCGTTCTCAGACACAGTGAGACTTATATGTAGCCGTTAATGACTGTAAACATGACATGACTAAATGTCAGACAGGATTTGTGAGAGGCAATAAATCTTCGAGGAACAAACTGCTAAGTGTATTGAAATTTGAAATAGTTTGACAGGAATGAGAATTAGGAAAGGACGTAAACTGATAATCTAAATCCCAATAATGAAACAGGTAATGAGAGTGAGAAAGGAGAGGAGGAGGAGGAGGAGGAGGAGGAGGAGGAGGAGAGGAGGAGGAGGAGGAGGAGGAGGAGGAGGAGGAGGGGAGGAGGGGAGGGGGAGGAGGGGGAGAAGTAGAGGGAAGGAAGAGGAGGGGGAAAGGGGAGGAGGGGAGGAGGAGGAGGAGGAGGAGGAGGAGGAGGAGGAGGAGGAGGAGGAGGAGGAGGAGGAGGAGGAGGAGGAGGAGGAGGAGGAGGAGGAGGGAGGAGGAGGGGAGGGGGAGGACGGGGGAGTAGAGGGAAGGGAGGAGGAGGGGGGAGAGGAGGAGAGGGAAGGAGGGGGAGAGGAGAGGAGGAGGAGGAGGAGGAGGAGGAGGAGGAGGAGGTGGAGGAGGAGGTGGAGGAGGAGGGGGAGGAGGAGGAGGGGTAGGAGGGTGGAGGAGGGGTAGGAGGAGGATGGAGAAGGAGGAGGGGAGGAGGAGGAGGGGAGGAGGAGGGGGGGGGAGGAGGAGGGAGGGAGAGGAGGAGGAGGAGGAGAGGAGGAGGAGGAGGAGGGGAGAGGGGAGGAGGGAGAGGAAGGGGGAGGGGGAGAGGAGGGAAGGAAGAGAGGGAGGAGGGGGAGGAGGGGGAGGAGGAGTAGGAGGGGAAGTAAGGAGGAGGTGGGAGACGTGGACGAGGAGGAGGAGTAAGAAGAGGAAGAAGAGGAGGGGGAGGTAAAGAAGAGGAGGGAAAAAGGGGGAGGAGGAGGAGGAGGGAAGCGGTGGTGGAGTAGGAGAAGTAGAGGGAAGGAAGAGGAGGGGAAAAAGGGCAGTAGGTGGTGGAGGATTAGGAAAGGAGGTAAGGAGGAGGTGGGAGATGTGAACGAGGAGGAGGAGGAGGAAGAAGAAGAAGAGGAGGGGAGGTAAGGAAGTGGAGGGGAAAAAAGGGAGGAGGTGGTGGAGGATTAGGAGGAAGGAGTTGTGGAGGAGAAGAGGAGAAAGTGAGAGAGGAGGAGGAGAGGGGAAAGGTGAAAGTGGAAGAGGATGGAGGAGGAGTGGAGGAGGATGAGGGAAGAGGAAGCGGGAAGTAGAGGGATGAGAGAATTAGAGTCAGGAGTAGGAGTGGGAGAAGAGAGGAGAGATACGAAGGAGGAGCAACAGCAAGAGCAGGAAGGAGAGGACGACGACGAGGAGAAGGAGTAGGATGGAAGAGGAGGTGTGCATGTTTTTGAGTGTGACTCTCTTTTTGATCATATTTAATTCGTTGTAAGTGAAACAAACAAACTCGGCTTACAAAATGACGAATTTTTAACTGCAGTGTTCCCTTTATGCAAACCAAAATATTTCATGTAGGTTTCCTCTGCATAACAAGCTCGGTATAATGGTTGTGTAAAATTCATAGCAGTTTACTATCAAATTCTCGCCTACTTGACAGACACTACGTATTACTGCGGAAGTATCCGCCATATCGATCTATCATTCGTCAAACACTTTCGGAGCTCCCTCGGGGATTACCCATTCTTTACCCAGGGAGCCCTTAATCTCGCCATTAGGCCTCGACGTGAAAAGCAATCGATCGCTTTCGCTTTATTAGCCATTTGCCTTAAATGTGTAGAAAACACACATCTGCTCGAAAATGGGTAAATACCACTTAAGCGTTTCCCTCTGGGCTGTAAATTCGACATGTCGTTGATTTGAATATTTACATTTAAATCTTGTGTTTGTAGTGTTTTTTTTTTATTTTTAGTTCTACGTAAAATAAAATATGACTTATCTTATAATGGCTGCAATCAACAGTTCGTAGAGAAACGGACGGCGTTCGCTTATCAATGTACAAGATAAAACATCCTCTGTTTAAATGTTCTTATCCGTCTCCCTGAACTCAGTAAACACTTCGTCTTCCGACTGGGAACATGACCGGATGACTTTTTGTACTATTGTGACATGCTTTCTTGCTATGTTTGTTTGTTGATCGCATTGTGAGCGCACTTATTGTAATATGCGATGGTTACCCAACTGAACACAATACGGAAGACCCGTTGCATAAACTTAAGAGATATTGAGAACGACTAAAAGCAGAAATGGTATTAAGACATAAATAAAGAAAACACAATACAAATATTTTGATGAAGACAACAATTGTTTAGTAAACAACCTAAATAATTTCCATTAGTATCACCAATTATCCGTGTATACCTTAGGGACTAAGATTAACAAAGCTGCTTATGATTTTCCCTACGACATCGGTCTGTAGGGTTGAAAGAATGGCAAGTGGCGAAGAATTGGAATATTTCGTTGTAATCTTGAAATGCCTGGAACGTTGTACACTGATTGGTGATTATCAACTTGACTTCCGGTTTTAAAAGGCGTCATGTCTTCCACACCACGTGATTTCTTTATGCCTGTGATTTGATGATTATATGATTATTCAAACATTTTGTGACAGTTTTACCAGTGAAATATAATAATTTAAGAAAATATCCATCTGATGAAATATCTTATGCCATATGGTGAAAAAAAATATTTCCAGTGATTGTTCTTTTTGAATTTTGACCAATCAGAACGGTGTTTTCTATTTACTTCATCTAAACTCGCCGGTTTTACTTCTGTTCGGAGCCAAGCTAAATTTGAAACCATAAAAACATGCTTGGATTACCCCGTTATCTTTTGGCTCCGCCTTAATAAGACAATGGCTGTTGTGAGGACGTGCAATGGAATTAAGGAATTCATAAAAAATGAAATAAATTGACGATTTTAAGTTGAGTAAACAATTTCTTTTATGAATACTAAAAAAAAAAAAAACAATATCACGTATGGTTGTCTGCACGGCATATCATATTTTTTTTATACTTTTGAAGAGAATATCAAGAGAAAAATTTATCTTAGAAAAGTGATGTTTCTGAATTCAACACTTAGAAAATTGTATCGTTTTAATGATAGACAATATGGAACAAAGAAAGACAACTCTCACACGAACAGAGAAAATATCCTACAACATATATACTTCAAACACAAGGCGAAAGCAAGTCCACTTGCTCTGTCGAAATGAGTACAACCATCGATCAATTTGATAAATTAATATTAATTTTGCTTTGTTAGTTATTTTTGTTGTAGCGTATTATTTCAGTTATTCAAATAATCAGACGGTTATCACACTGATTCATTGTCTATCTATTTCTAAATGTGTATTATAAAGTATTATTGTGTGTCATGTCTTATGTACAATCTTCGAGACTGCAAGTAGTAGACACGGCTGGTGGACTTTTAGTCCCCGAACTTTGAAGTAACCTGCACACCGCGTTTTCATTCAATCGATTAGTGACGCAGCTCAGAATATAAACATGTAAATGACGTCCTTCAGATATGTGTGATTGAATTATCCGGCACTTCCCTACCTAGGATATTTGATTTGATCAGTTTTGTTCTCCTCTGTAGCCTTCTCGTTGTTAAATCTCTCTTGTATTTCATCAATGAATAAAGCATTGTTTAGACTGAATTTCTTAAAGCTCATCAGCGCAAAGTCAAAATTATACGAATAGTGTTTTTTTGTAAAAATGTAAAAACAAAATACATAAATAAAAAAACGCAAAACTTTTCTAAATGAATTTTCACGTATCTATTGTATACCTACTGTTATCTAAATATGTATTGTAGATCCATTTGAAATGGAAACGTTTAGAAATTAAAACTTAAATTAGCGTCTTTCTTACTTCAAAGTTTTGCGAATTCTTTGTTTCGCGGACTTACCTCTTCAGACAAATTCAGGAATACATTATTTCGCGAACGCTGATCTAGAAATGATAATAATTTCGCGAATGATGAGCTGTTAGAGAATTCTGGGAGACTCCGATAAAGACAAGATGGACGCCATTCAGGGTCATTTTCGCAGAAATAATTGCGAGGGATTTTAATTCGAGATTGGCCTTCCTCGCATATTAACGCGAAAAATAAATCCTACGCGAATTAGAAATTGTTCACAGTAATAACCTAATGCCAATTTTGATGAAATTGCACGATAGTTTTGTATCCAACTGCGTGACCGTAGGAGGTGGTTAAATTGTCTCCTTATAGACATTGGGATTTCCCCGCGTCTTTTACTATGGGAAAATTAAGATGAAAAAGATAGATGTGGTGTACTCATTCCAACACTTAGGATTTTGGACTTCACTATCTTCTCTTTAAAAAAAATAGTTGGGGGTTGCTCTTGTTGTCTCTCTTAACACACGTTCTCATAAAAAAACACAAACATCCTACCTTTGACAGTATTGTCCAGTACGACTGACGTCAACCCAGCCACAAACATCTGGTTCCCGATGGTCACTTTCAGTACTTGATCCAATGAAGGATGACCTATAATTAATCAAAAGGAAGGTCAAAAGTTCAAATACGAAAATGTCGTGACTTCGAATGTTTACTTTAATCGAAATGAACCCATTTTTAAGGGGTTAAGTCCCAACATCAGGTAATTTTGCGGACAGGTGTGAAGAGGGACAATAACAGAAAGAAAGAACGAAAGAAAGAAAGAGCAGACAGGAAAGAAAAAAAAATAGCAAGATCAATACAGTGTGATCACTAGCATAGCGACATGGTGTTTTGTAAGTGACATTGCCCGTTAACGTGTTAACATTTCTCAACCCCCGCCCCCCATCCCCCCTCCCCCCTCCAATCCAAAAAAATAAACAAACAAATGGCTGTACGAGTACTAATGACGGATAACTAGGAAAATAATGATTTCTACTCTCTCTAAATCTACATTTCTATCGCATCAAGAATTGGAAACCTGGGCGGATGAAAATGGCTTCAAATAGCTTCAAAAGTTCAAAATCTAAAATTGTATCTAATTTTGTCCTTCTGCAACCAAAATGGGAAAAACACGAGCAAGAATCTACAATTTACACCTGCGTTCAGGCATTGAATTTATGCCACATTTTGCCTGCGGTACATACTGGGTAATTTGATTCATTCGAGCATTACCGAACGGTCTCGTGCATCTTTTACGTAATGCTGAACTGCGTACCTGTATTAATGCTATCTTTGTTAAGTTTCGTCCATTCGGAAGCAACCAATCCTAGGTACAAAGATATGCCGAGTACCGCGATGTTCCGAGTAGATGACAAGTCTACCTTCTTTAGCGAAGATATTCCTGTGGCTACTAGCAAGCCACACGTGACTACGTACACGCCCCCAATAACCGGATCCGGAATCGACGCCATCACAGCTCCAACTTTACCAAACACTCCAAAAAGCAAACAAATGAATCCCGCCAAAATCATCACACTGCGACTGGCAACCTGTCCACAAAAGACAGACACGAGATGTGATTTATTCTTCTATCAATAAGAGCGAAACAGTAGCATTATGTATTGATCTATTGTTTCTATTCATAAATTTGTATTGAAGAGAGTATAACGATATAGCGAAAGTAATTGATACACTGTAATTGAAACAAGAGACCCTAGAGGATGTCTGGCGTAAATAGTATGAACTTTATTGGCTTATTTTAAGTTGGATCATTTTCCTTCATTTCCAGTGCCTCCAAAATTATTATACACAACTATTTAAAAAGATGGCCATGCGAATCAAGCATTAAAATGATTGAGTAAATTTGATCTTCAATGTCTACTATGGCCGTCTGTCGGTCATTTTCTTGTATCAAGCATTCCAAAAACTGAAGGAAGCTTGCATATGGAAAAGCGGATTTATCGGCACGTGCCTCGCAAGAATTTTGTGATAACTAGAATTGTTTCCCGAACGAAGGGTGATTTGAACAACCCAAACATTAAAAAAGATTTGATGAGGAATTGTTCATGCGTACCTGTGTTAACTGAATTAGAACAATATTGTCACTGAATGATGTAGTGGCGTGCCCTGCCCCCAGGGCACCGGCCACTATCCCTAGGACGCCCTCTGTCAGTATTCCCCGGTTAATGGCATGGCGGGGCGGAGGGAAGGTCCCCGTGACCCGAGAAACCATTATATAATCTCCTAAAGACTCCACACTAGAACAGAGGTATGAATTCACAAACCCTATAAAGACTGCCATGTTGAAACGGATCGCACCGAACTGACCTGAAAATGACGTCATAATGATTAGTTAAAAATGTGACATGATTACATGTAAAAAACACACCTTTCGAAATCGCCGAGTTGTGTTTAATGATATATTTTTTAATGTAAACGGAATAGTCGAGACATGTAATAGGAGTATAAGCTATGTCTATTGAGGGATTATAACGTTACCTGGGTAAGGAAAGTAGAACCATGGAGAAATAGATATTATATCCCCTCCTCTATCGGTCCGAGCATTATAGGAGGGCTCCTTAGGGTCATCGGGAAATACACCAGCCAAAGTTAGGATCGCACAAAGTATCCATGTAGCTATAACTGATAGTAATATCTAAAAAAAAAGGTTCATCAGTATGTAGATCTCATAAATTATTGACGTAAATAAAACAGAATGATAAACTAAAATCTGACTTAAAAAAGTAGCGCACAAATCCTTGACAATAACACATAAATCACTGACGTAAACAACATCACACAAATCACTGACGTTAATAACAGTTACACACAAATCCTTGACATTATTCACAATAACACATAAATCACTGACGTAAACAACATCACACAAATCACTGACGTCAATAACAGTTAAACACAAATCCTTGACATCATTCACAATAACACATAAATCACTGACGTAAACAACAACACACAAATCACTGACGTCAATAACCGTTACACACAAATCATTGACGTCATTCACAATCACACATAAATCGCTGACGCAAACAACAAGAATACAGAAATCACACAAATCAAACTATTACAATGACGTCACATATGCTAACTGCCCGCAAACTGTTTTAAGTATTGGTAGCAAGCACTGAAGCCTCCGTCATCAATGACGCAACAAAACTTATTATTCTATCCGATATCGTGAAATATCAACGAGCTGACTGATTTGGTAATGACTTAGTAGCAAATTACTTCAACTCATCACTGAAGGTTCCATGAGCGACACCCTGTGGACAAATCTAGTTTGATCCTTTGATGTATCTCGAATCTCGAAGTTGTATAACGATATATTGTAATGGCTTTTGATGTCGCGCCTTTGTAATCTTTGTATCAGCTTGTGATTGGTCATTTTTTTCTCTTAAGACCAATCAAAATACATCGCTTGTGCCTTTAATTTTGTCATGACATCATCCAGTGGCGCAGAAAGCGAGTTAATTGTAATTCGAAGTAGCGAGGATTAAAACTCACCGAAAATATCCGAAACATTGGTAGCTTTTGGCTTTTCTGCGAATCTTCTTGTTCACTGGATACGACATTTGTCTTTGTACATCTGCTGCAAAGTACTTTGGGTATGGGAACTTTGACCTCAGCAAGGTACGTGATATGTAAAATCATCAGGAGAGAGCCACTATGGAAAAAATCAGAAGTGTCCAGAATGGAAAGAACAGATTATTGTAAACTTTTTTGTTGGATTAGGACAAATAAAACATTTTGGGTTATTTTATGATGTCATCAATGGCTGCCATCACCGTAACACTGGTGTTACGAAAAGACATCACCTTCATTGTTATATTTTCTTTGTTTTGTCATCGTGTTCAATAAATCGGTGTGTGGACAACCAAATCGAAAGTTTGAGCAAAAAGAATTAGACTGATAAAATTAAACCTATGGCACACGTGCGAACTGCAACTTTTAATACAAATTTAGAAAACAATACATTAGACAGCACCTTTGAACTGCTTCACCCTTCTTGGACTTCTCAGTGATATTAAAGGTCTAATGTTTGAAGCTTGGGAGGCGACTGAGCTGAGGATAGTCAATAGTAAGCCAACGGAAAGTCAAATGTAAAGAAGCCTAATCATTCAACAAACTTCATAATGTTCTTATATATGTTTCTTTTAAGCAGAAGAAGCTTACGCTTTCGGAGCACCTTGTCCTTTTACTCTTTGAACAATAGTCGATAGGTTGATCGCTCTTTTCTCATATTTTGTCCTCGATTCATCTGTTTTTTATTTGAATTAATATTTAACAGGAAACAGATATGCAACGCCAAACCAATATTGAAATGAATGATACTTCTGAGTAGCAAAAAGGCAAACTAAAAATAGTTGAAATGTTTGACCAGTCAAACTTGACATTCGGACGATTGAAGTTCGCGGTCGTTATATGCAGCAGTCGTGTTAAAAACTTACCAAAGAGCTACCGGAAGGAAACTGCTACTGTATGATATAGGGATGGGGTAGATGGATATTCCGAGCGAGGTTATCGTCGCACAAATGGTGATGGGGCCTACCAGGTTCGCCAGGTATCCTAGAAAGCCAGTTCCGGCCAGCAACACTTCTGTTACAAGACCAGCAACCATCAAACTTCCTTGAAGCTACAGGAAGTTTATTTTAAAAATATCATATGAACTGGTCAGCTTTAACGAACGGGGAATACAAAATCAGTCAACATTTAGCCTACAAAACAACGTGTTCCTATAGCGTCTTCTTAATAAAAACCTCTTAATTGTTAATTGTTGGTCTTGTAAAGGATATGAAATAACAGTTTATTTTCACATATTTTCATTTTTTTTTTTTCATCTATTACTTTGACATGCTGTAGATGCAGAAATTTTAGAGGTTGTCCAGTTTGAGAGACAGTTAATGCTGAACGCAAAGCGCAATTTATCATCTCGATATATGTCTACAGACATGTTTATAGCATAAACGTGATTGTTAGGAATCTATTGTCTACGTCACTTTAAGTATATACATCTATGAGTATTACAAAATATCTATTGCCAAGTTGTGAACTGCATCGCCTAAATAACATTATCCAGTGAAGTATATTAAGGCAACCTGGACTCCCTGATCTATCAAAGCTTGTGTTTTATAGTTCATGTAAGCACTGGTCACACAAGCTTATTAATGTGTTGTAACAAATATGTATAAAGTAAAACCCGTCTGAACGATGAAGTATTTATAGGCCGCAGTGTCTCATTATAAAAGTTTGCTGTACCTCTGTTACCCGGATGTAGACCATTTCCTGTCGCGTCACCATGGAAGCATTCACATAACTAGTGAGATTCGTTGAATTTTGATCTGAAAAGATAAAATTCTCATACAGAATATACAGATCAGAAAAAATCTCTTCTGATTTTGATTAAGATTTTCAATATAGATAAACATAAAAGCAGTCTGAAAAGTCGGATAAATCCCCCCGTACAATGTACTTGAACAACAGCTACTTCCGGCCACTAATGTATCACCTGGCTTATACGAGTATATCGTTTTATCGCGATTTCCAATTACTTCTTTTTTGGATGAAAATATCATGCTTTCACAAGTAACGATATTTTAAACATCTCACAACTCCGATTTCGCGAGTTTACACCGAAAATCTCGTTTTCCAACGATCCGAAATTACAACGCCTGGATCAAGGATATACTTACATTTTAAAAATTACCGTTGATAGAACTTTAATATGGTCAAACGTTTTCAAATTAAGTATTTAGAGGCGTATACTCAATTAGAATCTCTATCATATGTGTGTTGAAATATATACTAAATCATCACGTGACTTACGAATTCCTACGTCACCGACAAAATCACATGACCATATTCCTGCTGTTCGCATGGATAGTAAAGGCCCCAAAAAGGCACCGGAAGCTCCTTGAAACATGGGTAGTCTGCAAGAGTAATTAAATAATCATCAATGTTTTGTTCTTAATGGTCCATTACATCAACAAATAATTAGAGAGCACGGACCTTAATGCCATAAAATCTTTGCTGCTTATTTCGGATCGAAATACCAACTTGTTTTAATTCTTCATTCGCCAGCAGGGTCATGTCAAATTGCAAGATTGATGCCGGGTAAAAGAAATCGAAAATGTTAATAGATTGAAAAGTAAAGGACATTCTATACAAAATCAACTCAGTATTAGTACACTGAAATGATTTCTATCAACACACACACAGCACAAACATATTTTCATTATCACGGATTCAAAACCTCAGAATATATATAAATAAATGTATAGTTTTAACAAATGAGAATGCCAAAGGGTATATCACAGCTGGTGTACTTCCATTATAAATAATACATGAAAGGTTCAGGGATCGGCCATCAACATCCCTCGATACTTTGAAGGTCACATTTTTACGGTAAACGTAAAGTGCTCATAAAGAACGAATACCTGACCAATATGTTGCTGTTAAATTGATAACTTTACCTCGTTCTAAAAGTACTTTACCTTTACCTCGTTCTGATAACAATTTACTTTTACCTCGTTCTAATAACACTCTAATTTTACCTCGTTCTAAAAGCACTTTACCTTTACCTCGTTCTGATAACAATTTACTTTTACCTCGTTCTAATAACACTCTAATTTTACCTCGTTCTAAAAGCACTCTACCTTTACCTCGTTCTGATAACAATCTAACTTTATCTCGTTCTGATAACAATTTACTTTTACCTCGTTCTAATAACACTCTAATTTTATCTCGTTCTAAAAGTACTTTACCTTTACCTCGTTCTGATAACAATTTACCTTTACCTCGTTCTGATAACAATTTACTTTTACCTCGTTCTGATAACAATCTACCTTTACCTCGTTCTGATAACAATCTAACTTTATCTCGTTCTAAAAGCACTTTACCTTTACCTCGTTCTGATAACAATTTACTTTTACCTCGTTCTAATAACACTCTAATTTTACCTCTTTCTAAAAGTAATTTACCTTTACCTCGTTCTAATAACACTCTAATTTTATCTCGTTCTAAAAGTACTTTACCTTTACCTCGTTCTGATAACAATTTACCTTTACCTCGTTCTGATAACAATTTACCTTTACCTCGTTCTGATAACAATCTACCTTTACCTCGTTCTGATAACAATTTACTTTTACCTCGTTCTGATAACAATTTACTTTTACCTCGTTCTGATAACAATTTACCTTTACCTCGTTCTGATAACAATTTACCTTTACCTCGTTCTGATAACAATTTACTTTTACCTCGTTCTGATAACAATTTACTTTTACCTCGTTCTGATAACAATTTACCTTTACCTCGTTCTGATAACAATTTACCTTTACCTCGTTCTGATAACAATTTACTTTTACCTCGTTCTGATAACAATTCTAATTTTACCTCGTTCTGATAACAACCTTTACCTCGTTCTGATAACAATTTACCTTTACCTCGTTCTGATAACAATTTACTTTTACCTCGTTCTGATAACAATTTACTTTTACCTCGTTCTGATAACAATTTACCTTTACCTCGTTCTGATAACAATTTACCTTTACCTCGTTCTGATAACAATTTACCTTTACCTCGTTCTGATAACAATTTACCTTTACCTCGTTCTGATAACAATTTACCTTTACCTCGTTCTAATAACACTCTAATTTTATCTCGTTCTAAAAGTACTTTACCTTTACCTCGTTCTAACAGCACTTTACCTCATTCCAAAAGCGCTCTGGACAATCGTGGTCAGACCAACCATAAAAACGGATGTACAAAAAAGCTTGACACGGATCAGGTCATTTCTTTCTGCGCATGCGAGATCTGCGATGGTGAAACTGATGAGTAGGTTGGCTCCAAATGATAGCATCACATTCTGTGTTTGAAAACACATAACAGTCTTTAGATCATAAAACGGCTCCAATCGTCGTTGATATAATTAAAAGACAATTGAACACGATTTCGTTAATACTGTTCAAGTGTGAAAAAAAAAAAAGAATTAACGGAAATTATCGAAATATCCCTATTGACACTTGTCGTGAATAATTAAGGCCTATCCTTCAGGCATGATCGCAAAATTTGGCAAAAAATCTTATTTCAAGTTATTGTCTTGTCTGTTTCAAGACGCCTCCAATTTAGCATTTTAGCTGATTTTTTTTTTGTATTTGTAGTAACGGATCTTTCTCAAGTCGTTGCCTAATATAATAACTGTAGAAACAGCGGTTACGTTGGTTTGAACGCAATGGAATATCATATTCAATGCGTTAGCGCTAAATGTTTTTAACCCACTGTGTTCATACTACCATGAACACAATAAAAACGATGTTCAATACATATATTTTCACTGTTGTCGACGTTATTGTAGATATTTTGATTATTCTATTTCTTTGTGTGACATGAAGCTGGGCGTATTTGATGCCCGTTAATTTGCCTGTTGGTTCCGTCGATGTATACCTTTGTTCTCGTGTGAGAACGTGACATTACTTACTGTGTTTGACCAAGATTTACATGGCGGGTGTCGTCGATGAAGCAGAAGACGCTTACTCTTCCGGAACATCTGGTCTTATTCTCCTTGTAATTTTTCAGGAGTCTCCGTGTAAATCTTTCTTTCGTTCATATTTTGTCATAGTTTCATGGAATTTGAGTTTAATTTAAAATTATGTTGCAATGTTAGTTTTTTCTAGGCTAGGCCTTATATTATTTAGACATATTAACAACAATAAGAGAGATATAGGTAAATAAACAGATGCCTTGATATTTGATATACATGAAAAATGATTTGTGAAAGTAGCATGTATCAGAATCCGATAGATGGATCCCGCGTACCAAATACGGTCACCGCCTTAAGTACAAGGCGATGTAATGGGAGAAAACAAAATTCATGTCGTGAGGAAATTATTATTTTGTGGGTGTGTGTGTGTTGGGGGGGGGGTATATATTATGGTGTTCTGAATCCGTGATGTTGAAAATATGTTTGTGCTGTGTGCGTGTTGATAGAAATCATTTCAATGTGCTAATACTGATGAGCTGATTTTGGCATGAGATATCAAGTACAGTAACAGAAAAAAAACAAAAAAAAGGCTTTGTGTGGCTCTACAAAAAACAGTAAAATTGTTAAGTTTACCTGCATATTTGTATGACTTTCACCGGGGAAAATTATAGTACACGGTCTATCGGACACTGTAGATTAAATTTATGAAAACGCATTACATCTGTGTTTACACTATAAAGCGATTTCGTAAAGCAATAACATGCTACCATACCAAGGCTGTGGCATGTCAGTTTGATTGCGCTATAAAGAATCCTCAAATAGCCGTTGTTGTGGTCTTGCAACTATAAAACATACATCAACTTGCCCTTACTAACAAATACTGTTACAAAAATGCAAAATATTGTTGTATTGTTTTTATTTTCTTAATCAAAAAGTATACATAAGAAATTAGAGTCAGCTGATACATTTTTTCGTGAACAGTTACTTTACCTGAAGCGCGAGAATCAGGGACAAATGGACAGGCGGGTTATCGTTCACTCCATATCGTAAACACAGAACATCCGGGTTCTTTGTTGGGTCGTTTTGTGGCTCATCACTTTCGTTTGTTGACAGAGCAGTCACTTCCGCGTGGCTGTCGTTTATATCATCTGCTTCTGAAACACGAAACATAACAGCCAAACATCGGTTCATTCTCTGTGATTTCGGCATCTTCACACTTGTTGAAAATGTGTTGAGTCTTAAATGAATGTCCTTTTGCGTTCTTATTTATAACCTGCTTGTTATATAGTGTGTGGATTATCATTTCAAAGATAAAGAATATTTATAAAACCTTTTTTTTTTTGGTGTTCCATTTGTGATATAAATCTATACAACAGCACGTAGCAGTTAAATGGTAGTTAAGTAGACATAATGTATGATCGACAGTGTCACTTAAAACAAGAACACTGGCAAATAAAAATAAAAACAAAAACAAACAACACTGGCACCATATATAAAATAATAATACGCTTAAGTGATCTTAGAAATGAAAAACAGACCAATATCCCCGTTCTTACCCCACATTCAACAGAAATGAAAACGGTATCGCCGCGTGAAACCCATTTCACAATGAAGAATACTATGGAGAATTATATGAAATCTCTCGACCATAACTATTCCTGATGTAGCCCCACTCAAACGTTGGGTGGCCTTAAAATCATTATTCTTTTTGAAAGGTATTGATATTTGTTATATACATATATCTATTCAATCATCATCATTTTCCTAAATCATATCCCTTGTCTCCTAGCTGTGGAGCTCATCCTCAACTGGTAATAATGTGACTTTCAAACGACATTCAACAGTTATGTGGCTCAATGTAATATCCATGACAGTTTTTTTTTTATTTTAGGTTGTTATTTAATAGCGTTGTGTACTGCAAACTACAGTGTGGACTGAGATGAATGACCTATGCTTGAATTTGAAAATAATATTTCAACATTTTTTGTACCTGCACGAAATGTTATGGTACATGCTGGAGTCATATGTTCGTTTTGAGTTTTCTTTTACATGTAAAGGTCAAACATTCCACTGTGTATCAGGAATAGGAACCTTCAATAAATCTTGTTGCACTGAAATTAGGCTATATATAATATATCTTAGATATACACGTATGTAACTTATTCCAGTGAAATATCTATTTCAAAAACTAAAAATACTTCACATCAACATAAAAAAAAAGATTTTTTTAACTCCGCATATTTGTTTACCTGGTATTTGATAGTCCTTACTTCACTAGTTGATAACGTCTGTGAAATGTTTCATTTTAATATATAATAACTCTTCAGGACTTATGAATCATGTTCGTTATTTACTACAAAACATAAAATTCTTGTTTCATTTAAATTGCTTCATCTCTTCTGCAAATGGATAATAAAAACCATTAGGTTTACTCTGACTAAAGACTTGCCTAGATGTAGGTCCCTGCAAACATTACAGGTTAGTTTTTCGTTTAAATTGTGTTATTATTTCACAATTGGGACATGATCAATCTTATCTCATATACATACATCAAGTGATTGTTTTGCTGGTATGTTGTAACGATTTCAGTAGAAGATATAATACTTCCTACATAACGTACATTAGTATCAACTGTATATCTGTCTGCAATGTCGGGATAATTGTCAATACAAATACAAAGAAAAAACATTATTTCAAAATTCATTATCATTAACGATCAATCAATCATTTTGCAGCTTCGAAAAAGCAGCTCTCATGTCATGAAGAACATATCCGGATTTTCTTTCAGACACCTTGCTTTTTTAGTGGCGCCATGCACAGAGCAGTGTAAACAAGATGGCGGAGACGACAACAACCGTGGCTCCTGGATACAAAATAGAACCACTAAAATACATTTAGATATTTCTACACGAAATTGATCAATTTTGGATTTTTGAGTTTATCATGTAGTTTGGTTTTGTACCTCAGCATCCAAAGTTTTCCAAAGATTAAAAACAAACTACAAGAACATACCTACCTTGCCATAATCCAAAATAAAACTGAATAAACCTAAAGCAAAATATGAACAAAAGAAAGATTTATGAGGAAACAGTACACAAAGAATAACCCAGGAGGCCCGCAATGGTAAGCATTTTCATTTTAAATATCACTAACAGTTATCAACGAAGATGTTTTTTTCTGTGTGGCCCTAATGCTCTTCCGTACTGAAAAGTAAACAAACTGTATCCTTTAAAATCGCTTCTATCCTATTGGATTTTTAATTAATGTGATTGTGTTACTATAATCTGGATTTTATACTAGTTATGCTCATCATATAATCACACCTTTAAAAAAGAGGCCTAATTGACATGAATCGCTTACCGGTTCTGAAACTTACATAGCAGAAATTATCAACTCACAAAAGCGAAGTTGACAAATTTTAAAACATATTCCTTAAGCACGCTTCTATACAATGACCATGAACCAGAAAACTGTTGTTTACAGGGCAAAGTTGACGTTGTATGCAACGCCATGACGTAAACTCGCTTTTCCTAAATATTCAATAAATACCAGTTCTTACTTATTTCAAAACTACGTCGTGTACAATAATATATTCTGAACCATGTCATTTTCCGAATGGAGACTTAGATACACTACCACCAGTAGTGTTAATGTGAAAATCCAAAACATGGTTTGATACTATGATATAGTCTACTTCAAAAGCAACAAGCATTGATCTAACTATAAGCGGGTATACATGTGTATGGTGGACCCATATCCCATTTAAATCATACAGGTGGTCTGGTGGCGCAATAGTAACACAATCGCCTATCAATAAGACGTTGGGGTTCGAGCCCCGAACGGACATGAAAAAGTAAGGGGTCACCTGCCCGACCACGTGCGTTTTCCCTGGGTGACTAGTGATTAGTATTTGTTTCGCAACTGTTGTAAGTAAATAAAGTTTATATTTGTATATAAATTTTACCATTTAAAGTATCCGGCTGATCACATTCAAGCATAGTTTCCATCACTGTGTATTTTGTCCTCTTGTATTTGTCTTCGTCCATCACAGCAATCCGTCTCTTGACGTTTGACACTCCTTAACAAGAACGCAATATTCAATTTTTATAAAATCCGGAAAACCAATCGAGAATAAACACAAAGAAAATGCCAAATTCTCCTCGAATTCTTTATGTAAGCGTCATACATCTAATATAACAACTCCACGTGTCAAAGCCTCGCTTTCGGCCTCCAGTTTCACGTTTGCATTCTATTCCGTGTAGATATACACTAGAGTCTACCACAGAGTTGACACAACCTTTGATTTATTGTTTAATCGCAATATCCAAAAGGATGAGTTTCTCGTGAGCCTAAAGTCCTCAATCTCATACTGCAGAAAATACTCCATCATCGTGATTTCACCAGACCCGAAACTCGGGCAAGCACAGACGGACGAAGCTATTAAAACGTCGATAGGTTAAAGGTCAACTGAGGTCTTCTGTCTGCACATAAGCACATGTAACCACACCACATATCTTCAACGTCTACCATAATGAGCATTAAGTAATACACTTAACTTTACACTTGTGACATTGACATTCTCAAGTGGGCACATAAACAACTATGTGTAAGTACACACTGATGTATCACGTTCAATCACGCCTAAAATAATTCTCATCTCAGAATGCTATCGTTGAGACCCCAGCTCTTGCGTTAAATTTACAACTTGTGCTGATTTCAAAGTACTATCAGTTCACTAGCAAAACTCATGCGTTATAGTGATATCATTGAGAAATATTCTATTTCTGCGAAAAGATGCTGGAAGTGTTAAGGTCTCGTTATTTTAGCTGTTGGTTTCGTTGCCGCATACTTTGTTCTTCTCATTGGAGAAAGTGAAAGTTTTAAAATGGATATACCCTATACATGGTAAGTTTCATTAAGGGGTAGGGAAGAATCAGGCTGTATATCATATGACATATGCAGCAGAGACTGTGGTAAAAACAACATAAATAAATGGCATTCTATTATGTTCACTAACTACAATTAAGCATATATGCATAAATGAAAAAGTTGAAAATGTACTTACCATTGTTGGGGGGTAATTTATAGAGACATTTTGCATAGCGCAGCTACAGAGGTTCAAAGTTACTCAACAAATCTAAAAATTATGTATATTTTTGTTGAATATCTCCTCTACAACTATTTGTTGAGAAATTCCTTCAGAAAGGACACATTAATTCACAGCAGTCCAAATAAATACAGGTAAATTTCCAATAAATAGGTTCCAAAATGGCTGTGCCCTGTGACATAAATGTAGTCCCAGTTTGGTTTAGTTTTAGAACAGGTAAAAACACAGTTAAACATGTAGCAATAAACACATTTTAAAAAGGTAATTTGGATGGATATGTAATTTCAACAATATTCAATTTAGAAATATTTGTCCCAAAACATAAGATTTATAGATTTTTCAGGAGGACATATTAAGAAAGAGTTTATAACTAACATTAAGTGTTGGTATTGCATTGATCACAACCGTATTTAGCAGTCAATAAGCCCATGCCTGGTAATAACCCCACCCATGTCTTTTATAGACATTTAAAATTGTTTCGATATAAACTTCATCCCTGCAACAAGCCCCTCCCTCAGCAATTAACACTGGTCCCCTAGGCGTATTACAGTATAAAAACAGGGGCCTATATAACACATTAACATTAATCTCCATTTATTAATTAAGTCTGCCTCACTCACGTTATCACTACCATGTATCATATATTTTCCTAAAACTACTGTAGGTGATGTAATGTGTGATCACACAACTAAATAATTATAAAAGTGGAACTTTTCATCATGGTCTTGCAATTAGATATACAATTACTACCCTTAATGAGACACTGATTTAAAGGTTTTGGTAAACATTTTAGCTTAACCATTTTACAAGTCTGCCTATAGAGTGTGAAAAGGTTTCAGTGCATGTTGTAATTTTGGCTACCGGACAATGACATGGCTGAAAGCCATATCTTGTTATCATACTAGTACTTAATTTGGAACACTCACATAGTAGAGACAGACATATGAAAATGGTGTATTAAAAAAAAACGTCCATACCAACATATATGTCAATAAACGTCAGTGCACCAGTGTCGAGATCTTGCTGTAGGTGGTCTATGAGATACCTCTCTTACTCGCCTTTATAAAAACTTCATGCACTTCCCCATCTTGGCTGTCTCTTTCCTTCACACACTCAAGTACATTGCCTTCACACCACTAAGTCTCTTTAGTAATCTCATCAATACACCACTCATGTTAAACACGTCTCCCAACAAACAAAAAATACATTATGTTTAATGTGAGTAATACAGTAACAGGGTGTGCCAAGATCAAACATTAAAGTTTAAAGAAAATTTACTTATAGCTAGCAACTGCCCCAAATGGCCTTCAAACCTGCTACCAAAGTAGTGGAAAGTAGACATTAGTGAAATATTTAATGACTTAAAGTAGTGCTTTAAGTCATTATCAACCTTTATCGTTATGCATGTAATTAGAAAATATTGCATCTCTTAAGTAAATTAAGGTGAAATATGGCTTTGTTAAATTCTAGGATTACCCAAGGTTTTTCTGGTTCACGTATTTCAGTGGAGGTGCCCTTTCTCGGTACTGCCAGTTCTGGTAGAATTGCTTTCTTGTAAAACGCATTAAGCTTGGGAACCATTACATCATTCCACAAACCAATATCCCTAAATATCCTTTCAACATACAGTTGATACGGGTTGGTCCTGCGAATCACAAAGTCTACCCAGGGTAATTTCAGGACGTTTACCTGTCCTTGGCACTGGTAGTAATAATTGTGGTTGCGTTTCAGAGAGAGTTTCCCACCACATAGTTCCAAACAAAACTTTCCCTTATCAGCTGCTTACTGGGAGGACATTTCATTATTTTGGAGAAGGTTTTTCACCTCTAAGAGCCCAAACTCATCCCCCTCTTTAACTTTGCTATCTGGACTGGCTGCCAAGAAATTGTGTTCTCCATCAATGACAAGGCCTACAGGGGTTACTATCACTTTCAAATCTTCATCTTTCTTCTTCATGATATATTTTTTGATGGTGACAGATTCACAGAAGATCCGTAATCAATGGACTGACATTGCGCTTAACATTTCTTCTCACAACATCCCCAAATTTTGAAGAGGTTATTCGTTTCATTCGCTCCTCTATCCACACTCCACTGAAATAATGCTCTCTAGTCAAAACACCTGGAATTTTGTCCTTTGTCAGTGCAATGTGGGTAGAGAGGTACTGCTTACATTCCTTTTGAAGGGCTTCTGGTGACACATCTTCCATAACGTCGAGAACATCCACCCCATGCTCTGTACAAGTTTTCTTGCTGGTAGCTTGTGACACCTTTCTTTCTTTAGTACGCCCTAGCCTTCAACTCTGGTTTGCATTTACTGCGGCGGCTTACCGTGGGAGGTAAATGCAGATCCTGGTTTGATGCCGGTGTCTCTATGCCATACAACTGGAGACCATGCTGCACCATAATTTTTACGTAATGCTCCATCATAGCACCGACTATGCCAAGATCCACGATTACACCTGTTGTAGAGCTTCCCATCATCACATTTTGAACGAATTTGCATCCATGACTCAGCTAAATTTGTTGTGAAGTTTCCAATGAGACGAGAACTTTTTGAACCAAGACGATTGTGCAAAATGCTCACATCTATCACCATGTCTTTGTCAACATCCAATGATATGGGAGACTCATATCTGCTTTCCTCAATGTCGTCATCACCGGTAACTTCATTTCAAATTAACTGTTGCTCTGACAGGTACTCTTGAATGTGGCCTTGTCTTACAGAAGTCACTACAATGCTGGTGGTTACCAAACAAATGATGAATTGAATTACAGATATCGTGGTGTAACTGCTGCACAGCACTACTTATGTTTGTATCTGTTGAACGCATGCGGATTGCACATCTAACACCTTTCACAAGACGAATTCTCATATGTTTGGTAAGTTGCCCACGACCTTTATAATGTGGTTTGCCCTCAACTAGCTTCTCTAAATTGGAACAGAGACATTTGTAGGCATGGTTAGCACACTCCATCTTCTCTACATGCTTTCCTCACACAGGTACTTGCTATTGTATCCGAGAATACACAGAACTATCCCCATCTGCAATGAGCCGCGTGTACCGAACTCAAAGCAGATGTTTAGCCTGCATAAATCCTTCACGAATGATGTCTGCCTCCATAGCCTGGCTTGTTTCGTTCCAAGTTTTGAAACAAAGATGAGGGGTGGGATCACAGTGCTTTGACTCTGCAGACGAGCATATATGGCAATGCTTGTTACGTACTCCAATGTGTAGAAGTTTTCCTGTTACATCTCAGAAAATGACACCAACTCCTCCAAGGGCATTATATATGTGTTTGTGTGATCTCTTTGACCACCCTCCATCACAAACAACAGTTATGGCTGGTACTCCTTGGCGATAATCATTTCGTTCAATGGCCAAACGTCTTTGTTCAAAACCAGCAGCTAGCATGTCCTTTTTAGGCTAAACGTACTCAGTACGCAAAGCCTATTGCGACGGCCTTTCAGACAAAATTGACCGATCCTAGCCTTCTCTGAAATAACGGAAAGAGTTAGAGCCCTCTAGCGGCAATTTTCTGCGTAAATAATGCCGCGATTTTTCAAACCGCTATTTTAAAAGCATCCAAAATTAGTTTATTTTTTTAATAACAATACGATTACTATATATTTAAAAAAGAAGCACATTATGGTAGAACTATTGATAAATTTTGAACAATATATTTTACGGAATTCTCGACATGACGTAAGCGTACAGAACACTGTACGTGCGAGTTGGCGCCATGATAAGAAGCTAGTCTGGGGGCTTGGTTTGAATTATCAACTAACAACACTTATAAACAAATAAAACTTACAAACAGAACATCAATTTTGCTTTAATCCTTGTTGTTGTGGCAAGATCGTCTCAATATATAACATCACTTTACCTCATTAGACGTCACAAAATTGCTCATGATTTATGAATGATATATTTCTTAATACTGTACTGATCATGATGTTGACTTTGTTATAACTTATATTTTTTGTCTTTTAGTTTTATTTGATGAAGGTTGATTGTGCTGATTTCTCAATGTTTGTTAATGTGTATCAAAGTTCCTTGAAATAAAAATATTCCTTCAAACAAAGCGCGTATAAAAAAACCCCCAAAATATTCATGTTTATTATTATCAATTAACTAGCACGAAATATTTCCGTAACATATTTATTCATTTCGCGTGTCATGGTGACATTATCT